CCCCCCCCTCCCCTTCCCCTTTCTTACTCCTCCTCAAGCCATTATTTGATGGGTCACACAGCAGACACGCAGTGAGAGGCCAACGCGCTCAGTACACCACCATCACCACCCCATCCCCCACGCTTGTCACACCCGGCGCGCCTCCAGTGAGATTCATTATCAGCTCTGACAGGGCAGCTTTAGCTGATCGGACGCGTCAGTGGGTAGGTCTGGGGTCTGGCACATCATGATACTATTGGTACTAGTTTGGCGACTCACAAAACGCACAATAAAACAAATGAACCCTTACCAAACAAAAATAAAAGCATTCACACAGTAATAACGGTATGTGTCGAAAAACAAAAACCAACTAACCAACGCAGCAACTGAACTTTGCACCCCATTTCTAACTAAATATGATTCAACGCAAGTCAAAGTCCAACCTTGAAATTACACTGGAAACTCGAGTGTGTGAATTGAGTGGGTAAACGTGTGAGTTTTCTAGAAAAAAAATGTTTACTCCCTTAAGTGTACGAATAGGTATGAACACACCGACAAGCAGCATTTCAGTTTTGTTTCCTGAAGCAAACAGTTTTCTGGGTGTCGCCGACCTAACTTAGTCACACATTTCTATTTCGTTCGAACAGTATCACCGTACTGAAAAAAGGGCCTCACGTCGCGTTACTCCTTTTTTTTCTCTTTTTTCTTTAGCGAGTGGAAGAGAGTGACTCACTTGTTGTACAGCACGATGTCCGGCAGCCAGATGTGCTCAGACGGGACGTGCAGGGTCTCCACGCCGCCGTAGTCGTCCGGGTTCCACTTGAGCTTGTAGTCGTTCCACTCCTGAAAACGAGAAAAAATAAATAAAACGGGTCCAGATTGAAATTCGCGGGTTTAAAGGTCCGCCGGGCGGGCGGTATTGGAGAGGGGCCGCGCTGCTGCTGCCCTGGCGGATGCCCCATCATGCCGAGCAGATCTGTCGGTTTATTTCCGTTCAAAGGCCCCTGGGCCAGGCGGGGGGCGTGGTCGGGCGTGGCGGGGCGTGGCTGGGCGGTCAGGGCCCCATTCATCAGGGCCAAGCACACCGCACCCCTTTCGGCTTAGCGACGGGCCACAAGCAGCAGGGCCGAACCGAACGCCCCTTGGCGCTTTAGTAAGTGCAGTGAAACTGAGCCAAAGGAAGGGGATTTTCTCCTTGGAGAGATTTTATAGAAACGGGGGCCGCCGGAAAGGCACAAAAATTGCACATTCCCTATATCGCTCCAAAGTTAGAGGGAAATAAAAATAAGGTCGTGTGGGGGTGAGAGTTTTTATTTGGGCGAGTCGGCTGGCCGCCTGGGCTGGCCGCCTGCGGTCTATAACAAATGCCGAGGTGCTTGGCATCCCAACGAGCGCGCCGGCCCGGGCCAGCCCCCGGCTAATGATATTATAAAACACACACACAAAAAA